ATTTCATATAGAATAATTACTAATCTGAATATATTATATTATTTTTTCCATAAAGTAAAAAAAATTTTATATATATAATTTGATAAATGAGCAATAAATATATAATTTTATGTATATAAAAAAATATATTTTTTAAATGAGCAAATAAGTATAAAAACCTATATAATAAAAAAAATTTCGAAAATATATTTTCTTCAGTAAAAAAAATGTAAAAAAAGTTAAAATACTACGATTTAATTACTAATTTTTTTTAAACAAATAAGTATATACGTCCCCGTGACAGTCGAAATTTCGGAATCTCAGAAAAATAAGACGACTGATTAGATTAGAATTCAAGTTTAGCACGTTTGTTTAACACGCTAATCTTTTGGTTGCAATACTTTTCCGGCCTCGAGCCGGTATTAATTTATTTCAGGATCGTCTTAGATCGGTATTTATAGTTTATCGGTATTTATAATCGATTTTTATATTTGAGACTGTCTTAAGTACAAGTATATACAGTCTTAAGATGTTATGAACCAATCAGAGAAGCGTTATTATATATTACCATCTTAAGACGGTCTTAAAATAAGAACGGACTATGAATACCACCTTTAAATAATACAGCTATGTAATTGGTTATTTAAGGTTACATTTAAGATGGTCTTAAATATAAGAACCGATACACACACACTGAAAAAAAATTTATAAACTTAGTAATATTTTTTTTAATAGTTATAAGTAAACATTTCCTCATTACAAATAAATATTTACTAAATGGAAATATCATTAATTTGATTTGAATATTACTTTCTTTGTTCGAATAAATATTTATTTGCAATAAGAAAATGTTACTTACAACTATTCAAAATATATTACTAAGATTAAGGAAATTTTTTTTTTTAGTATAACCTCTGTCCTTAAAGGAGCACATCACTGGATCATTTGATCCGCTTTTTTGCATGGTATTCTAGATTTGTTTGCGTCGCATTCTCCAACATACTCCTTCCATAGCTTCTACTCACTTTAACGTGCTCGTTGAAGTGAATAAAAGCTATGATAGAGCATATTGGAGCATGCGACGTGAAATCAAACTTTATAACCTTTATGAGTGGGTCGGACAACCACACTTCAGAAAAGAAGCAGAAATATAAGAATCAATTATAAATATACCGGTTCGAGATTCCATTTTCCGACATTTCGATCGTCATGGAAAGATACCTTAAGTTATTCTACATACTTCGCGCCATTCTGCACGCATGAGGCGAGACATCCATAATGCGTGCGCATCTCGCGGAGTTTTTCGCGGCGAGATTATCGTCTCATTTGTTTTCTGCTGAGTGAAGGGCACGTTCACTGCTCGCCAACAGTGAAGCCATTTTTCAACGAAAAGTTCACAGTATTCTAATTCGACTACAATTGTCTTGTTCACAGTAAACGGTAAGTTTTGTAAGTAAGCGAGAAAGAATTGATAACAAAAATGTATGCAAGGAAACCGTTGCCTTTGTTCTCCTTCGAAAAGATACTCGTTTACAATTAAGAGTGCTCAGGATACGTATTACGTAATTATTTGGAATGGATTCCGATCAGAATTATTCAATTATTTCTTAGATTTCTATTGTGTTTCCTAGAGAAAACGGAATAATTCCGATCACGTGTCCTGAATCATGTATGAGAACAAAGGCAATGGTTTACATGCAGACATTTTTCTTATCAATTCTTTCTCGTACTAATACCGCTGGTAACCAAAAATTACTGCCTCTGAGAGAAACCTGTTGACGTAAGATCGAAAGTAAATATCATCAGTCGCCGGTATAGTTTTCAGACTTTTTTCTGTTGTGCCACAAAAACAGTAGAATCTGCTTTACATTATACAGAGGACAGGATGGCAGATGATGAAATGAAAAAAATATTAAAGGATCTACATTTAGCTCATCTCGAGGATGACTTTAAAAGTAAGTTATTGTGGGAATAAACCTGTGTTTATTTGTTATACTGCCTTTTATGTAAGATTATTAAACGTGTTTAATCATACGCTTATAATATTCACAATTTATAAAATACACGTAGAAAATTTTTGAAATACACGTAGAAAATTTTTGGTTAGAAATGGATAAATCAGAAGGTTCTGATTTATTGATATCAATCAGAATTTTACATTGTTGTGTGTTCTATATTATTTTAACTAGAATTATAACAGATTCAATCAGAGAATTCTAATTTATCCATTTTTAATCAGAATTCTAATTAATAGTTAGATTTTTGGCAGTATATATTAGTTATCATGACATATAACAAAATTAGTCTTCACAGTCATCAACATTTCCTTATTATTATTTTGAAGTAGATAGTTGATAGAAAATTTGCAATCATTAATATCTATTAATTTTGTAATGATTTTTGTAGAAGATATTTTAAATTAAATTAACGAATGTTTCTCTTAAATTTATTAAACTTATTTTCTAAATTTATGTTTCTTTTGTTTTAGGAAATAGAATTACTAAATGTGTACTGAAAAATCTTGATCAACAACTTATTACAGATTTAATACCTCTTATTGGTGATAGAAGCATATTTTTGAATTACTGGAAACAATATTATAAGGAAATTTTACCTAAAAAGGATGACAATTCTTATCCTTCACAAAAAAGAATAGTAATTTTTTAAATTCTTTATATATATATATATATAATGGGTGCTTTCCATTTGACGACACAAGTCGACACAAATGCCGTTCTATCCTTGTTGACATTCAGAGAGCGACAAAGATAGAATGGCATTTGTGTCGACTTGTGTCAACTTGTGTCGTCAAATGGAAAGCACCCAATGTGTGTGTGTGTGTGTGTGTGTACATATGTAGATATATGTATATATATATACGTTATATTTATGTATACATATTTTGTTACACAATAATTTTTTGTCAAAAACATGAAACATGAATTATGTATTATTTTGTATTCAAGTAATTATTTTGTATTCCTGAGTAGTTGCTGTGGCCATGTTGGATGATGATAGCATATAAGTGACAAATGACGCGTTAACGTTTCTTGCAAGCCATTTGTAAATAAAGAGAATTTGAATAAAGTAAAACATTGAGATTGCTTTAAAAGGATACTTTTGACTCATTGTTAAAAGTGTTTTAAAGTGATCTCATAATTTTGTTCTATCCAAATTCTCTTTATTTATATATAGCTTGCAAAAAACTTGAACGTGTCATTTCTCGCTTATGACATCACAATCCAATACGACTGTAGCGATTAGGAGCTTTAACATAGTTCTTATTTGATTTTTTGACGAAAGAATTATTATGGAATTAAAAATCATAAATACGCAATGATTTTCATTACATACAAATTTTAATTATATACTTTTAGAAACTTAATACTGAAAATATAAATAAAATTGATTCTGAGCGGTTACTTGACAACATAGATGATAAAGAAAATGCAAAATCCATCGAAAAAGTATTAAGTAAAGAAACAATGATTTCTATTGACAAATTACTTTCTGAAAGCAAAGCAGGACAACAAATTTGCATGGTATATAAGTCAACAAATCAGTTAGATGAAAAACTGAGAACTACTTTGTGCAATATTATTGTCTCTTACATTAAAAATATATCTGCGAGGTAAAAATTTAATTTTATGTTGCACATTTTATTTTACTGTTCATTATATTTATTTAAATTTTATAATTTTTAATAGTCTGACAAACGAATTATGTAAGCATATATCTAAAGCCATTGTTGAAGTTTTTCCTACTGAAGTAGCAGAAAGATATTATATCTCTCCAGTAAAGAAAACAAATTCAAAAAATAATAAGTCAATAATATCAAAAGGCAAATTAATTACAATGTGGCGTAACAGAAGGTTTAAAAATAATCAATTGCTTAAAAGAATAAAGGAAGAAACTGTAGAGAAACTTGATAGTGATCAAACAGGTATTCATCTTTCTTTAAACGTAAATGGATACAACTATATTAGATATATTATTTAGATATTACTTTTTCAATGCAAATAAATGATAATGTACTACTTATATTACAGAAAATTTAGAGTTTCATGATGAAATAAAAGAATGTGCTGAGTGGGTGAAAAATAATATAGCGCCTTGGGGTGATGTTCTAGAAAAATGGCATAAAACTCATAAAATGATAATGAATGATATTGCTGACTTACAAGAAAGAAATTTAACACAGATTTTTGATAATTGGTCGTTGTTTAAACATCCACAAGGACATGAACTGATAAACATTGATTTCAAGAATATGAATATTGCAAAAATAGAATTAAATTTCAATCTTTGGATGGAATTTTTTGAAGTTGTTCAAGAAGTGCAAACTATCAACACGAAAGATAGCAATGTTCACATAATGATACAAGAATTAAGTTTAAAAGATGTAACTGAAGGTAGAAAAATAAAATTTGTTTATTTTCCTGTTGAATTAAGTGGTTCCCTAAAATAATTATTACAAATAATTTTTTAAACAATGTATAACGTGTTATTTTTCAGACAACAAAGCAGTAAAAATCTTACATTTATTACCACATTTTGTACCACCTAAAAGGTCATTAGGAAAGAAAAAGTTCAGACCTTCAATTGCAATAGCACAAGAGAGTATGATTAAACACGTTAATGTTAGTTTTTATTTGTATAATATGAAAATGAACTTTCTATATTTATATATTGATTTTTTATAGATTTTAATAAATATATATTTCTTACAGACTCCTGCTGATGTTACTAGAGTTCGCTTAGAAACAAAGACTTTTGTTGCAACACTAAAATTAACAGTTCAACCGTACATCATCACCGTAGGTCCTAATGATACAGTGAAAGAGATATATGTTTGTATAGATGAAACCTTATATACAGTTAATAGTGTCATTAAAGCATTGGATATATGCTTTAAAGCTTTTCATGTCTTTCAACTGAATTATCCAGTTGCCAGTGAACATTTATGGATTCTAATACAGAAAGGTATTTACAATTTTGATACAAAATGGGATACTGGCATACCATTTATCGCACATATATTAAATAGAATTAAAGTAAAACTTCATGGTGAAAAAGACAGCATTAAAAATTTAGCGGATGATCAAGAAGAAAGTATTTCAATTGAAAGCGAAAATAGTAAAGAATAAAAAGGAAGTATTTTATTGATGTTTTTATTTATAATTTTGTTAATGACAATGATTTCCTGTTTTTATTGTAAACTTTCTTTTTATTCATTAAATATTTTGATGTCTCATATTTCATTGAAACATAAAACTTCTATGTATTCACAAGTTGACTGTAATTTTACAAACTGCTTTAAAAAATATGCTAACGTTTATTCATTAAAACATCATTTAATACGTGATCATCAAATTGATAAAAATGATGAAATTTTTGTTTCTAACAATGATATTTCTTCTCATAATGAAAATACTATGATATCTGTAAATAACACTACAGAGTTGCATAAAAAAATATCCAACGATAAAATTGAAACAGAAAATGAAATTAAAGATATTTCAAACAATCTTTTATTGCCACTAAACTTTATAGAAAGTAATTTGAATAATTATTATGAAAATATTAATTTAAATGATTTTCAAGATATAGTAATTAATAAGTCACTATGCTTCATAACTCATCTATATGCGTATGGAAGTATGAATAGAAAAATTGTTCATAAGATTATTAATGAAATAACTAATTCTTATCTATCAAATCTTTTGACAATTATTTCTAACAGAGTTAATGACAAGAAGGATTTGAATGCCATGTTAAACATACTCATAAACGGCTTCAAAATGTTTAAAACCGAACATTTAACTTTTACATACTTAAAAAAAATTAATTGTTTATTTGTACCTTCAAAGATTGCAATAAGATCGTATTTAACATCCGGAAGAATTAAAAAAAGGGTTAAAACTGTACTACATAATAGTACATTAAGTATTATTTTTTTAAAGGATGTTTTAAAAAAATTTCTAGAACTTCCAAACGTTTATTCTTCAATCTTATCGCATATAGAAGAATGTAAGAATAGTCAACTTTTTACTTTTTTTGATAGCGAATATTGGAAAAAAGTTGAAAATGAAAAAGAAAACAGAATTGTGCTCCCTTTAGTTCTATATTTTGATGATGTAGAAATAAATAATCCTTTAGGCTCACGAAAATGTATTCATAAAATTGGTATAATTTACTCTTCTATTCTTGGATTACCTTATGAATTTTCAAGTATGCTAGAAAGCATTTTTTTAGTTCAAATTCATAATTACCAAGACCATAAAGTTTTAGGTAATAAAAGAATTTTTCAACATGTTGTAAATCAAATCATCAACTTACAAGAAAATGGTATAATTATTTCAATAAATAATCAAGAATATAAAATATTTTTCATTCTTCCTTTTATCATTGGAGATAATTTAGGTTTAAATACTATTTTAGGATATTCACGTAATTTTAGGTCAAATTATTGCTGTAGGATTTGTTACGGAGATATTTCTAATTTAAAAAAACAGTCTGTTGAAAATATTAGTGAACTAAGAACACAAGAAAATTATTTGTCTCATTTACGTAATCAGTCTTTTGGTATTCAAGAAGAATGTATATTTAATTCGATATCAAATTTCCATGTAATCGATAATGTTTCTGTTGATCCAATGCATGATATTCTCGAGGGCATATGTAGATATGATTTAGCAAAAATTTTACGTTATTTTATAGATGAGAAACAATTTTTTACATTAGAAATTTTGAATAAAAGGATATTGTTTTTTGATCATATTTCTTCTAATAAAAATATTCCTCCAAATTTATCATGTGAATCCATAAAAAAAGGAATGATTATTTTATCTGCATCAGAAATGAAATTCTTAATTGAAAATCTAAATTTCATAATTGGTGATTTAATTCCAAAAAATAATTGCACGTGGAAATTATATCTTATTTTGTCTGACATACTCCATATTACATCCATATCAACCATTACCCTTGAGAATATTGAAAGATTTAACTCTTTGACATCCGAATATATAAAGTTAAATTTAAAACTGTTTAAGACGCCACTAAAAATTAAACACCATCATTTAGTACATTATTCCAGACTTATGAAAAAATTTGGACCCTTAAATAATATGTCTTCAATTCGATACGAAGCTAAACATAAACAAGTAAAAGAATATAGTAAAGTAATTACAAGTCGGAAAAATGCATGCTATACATTATCTCTAAAGCATCAATTACAGCTTCGTTCTAGATTTGTACACAATTTTTAAAAAGAATATTATATGGAACTCTTATTTCAAAAGTGAAAATGATTAATACTTATGAAAATTTTAAGAAGTTATTACCAAATGATGATATTGGTAATTACAATTTAATAAAATGGATTAAAATAAATAACACTGATTATCGAAAAAATGATGTACTAAATGTTGGTAATCACAATTTAATAATATTTGGAAAAATTAAATATGTTATAACTGATTACTGTAATATTTTATTTATATATAAAAAAATAAAATCTTTAACCTATAATGAGCATTTTCGCGCATATGAGATTGAAGAGGAACAGGAATACGATATAATAATTAAAGAAAATCTTATAGATTATAAAGTCTACAGCATCCGTGAGTTATCAAACAGAAAAAAATATGTGTCTTTTTTCAAATAAAATTTATTTGCTGTGAAATTTATATATTATTATGCGTATAAACGTCACACATACGCTACAAATTATATAAAAGAATTTATATACGTAATTAATCATTTGTCTCATTTATACGTAATTAGTCTTTTGGTATTCAAGAATACCATAGTATATTTAATTTAGTATATATTTTTATGTAACACCAAGTATATTTAATTTAGTATATATTTTTATGTAATCAATAATGTTTCTGTTGGTATGTGCAGATATCATTTGGCAAATATTTTACGTTATTTTATATATCTATGAGAAACAATTTTTTACATTAGAAAAATGTAATATATAAAAACTGATCTGTATATGATTTCAGAAGTCAATAATATAATAAATAAAAATCTTTTCATAAAATTCATGATTTATTAATCAAATAATACCCTTAAAAATGCGTAAATCTACATTATTTACACTTAAATAACTTTTTACTTTAAACAAGCATGCCTATTTCATCTTAATTTTTTAGATTAATTTATTTTATAATATTCTCTACAGTAATAAAAAAAAACGCATTTTTAAACGAAGACAGTTTTTTTTATTACAATCTTAAAAATATTTTTTTAACACAATATAAATATAATTTATATTTTGTTTAAAAAAATATTTTTAAGACTGTAATGAAAAATTGTCTTTGTTTAAAAATGTGTTTTTTTAAATATATTTTGTTACTGCAAATTTATAAAACAAATTTATTTTTCACAAAAAAATTATTCACTTAAAAGAAAATATCGCTTTTTCAAGCTTAGTAAACAAGTTCTATATTTTAAACTGTACTTTTTAATTTTGAAAATATATTTTCTTATTGCACAATTTATAAAATGTATTATTTATTTCGCAGAACTAAATATTTACTTTACAAAACTAAATAATTTCTGTAATCTTAGAAGTAATTTATTCTATTTCAAATAACACTACCTTTATTTAAAGAAATATTTTTTTATTACTACTGTAAGAAACAAAACTGTTTTATCAATTTAAAAATAGATTTACTTATTTAAAAAATTTACATATTTATATAAAAAAAAAACCTTTTCTTATCTCATAATGCATTTTTTATTTTAAAATATTATTTATTCAATTGAAGTACATATTTTTGGTTTCATAAATAAAATTAACTTCATTTGAAAAAATATTTTTTCTTTATAAACCAATATTTTTTTATTAGCAAACACGAAATTTTTTAATATAAAAAAATAATTGTCTTACAAATATACAAAACAGTCATTTTTTCAAACCAAATTTATTTTTTTTGAATTTACTAAATTTTTTTTTCAGTGTATGATGACGGGATATCTCTCGAGAGGCAACCTTTCAAGGTTGCCATTCAAAATTCGTATTTCAAGGTCTAAAAATAGGAATAATTTTATTTATCATCTCAGAAATTTTTTTTT